GTCGAGCGCCCTAACCACCTGGCCATGTTATATATGAAGTGTCAAATTTCCTTTACTGTGGAGTGTTATAATTTGTAAGATCTTATTACATCTTACAGTATTGTTTATTTCTTCCAACTGGTCTTGAAAACCCATTAATGTTTTTTTTTTATGCCAATTGATTTCAAAATTTAGAGACTACGGGATGGCTGCTTTATGTTATGCAAGAATACACTCTGTGTCTTATCTTGATATTCTGTTGCGTCCATTGGGAACGTTCCTGGTGTGATTGTTATTGAAAAAGCTTTGAATTCGTAACAAGGCTTCAGCATGGCATCTGTTGATCGAGATTGTTGATTATATAGAGCTAATTATTTTTATACTATTTATGTGTTTTAGTATAAAGGGAGAGTTGATCATCTAACTTAAAACCCAATGAAACTTTGTAATTTTCCGTTGGTTTCCGCCGAGTCATAGTGCGAATGATAAGTAATTTAGTTGTTTGAATATGAGGGGACGATCCACAGCTAAAGAAAAATAGAAGGGGTATGTCTCTCTCCTTGTAAACAATGCCTAATATGCATTAGAACTGCATACAACTTTGAGGCACTCAGTTTTATAATCCATTTGTTTTGTTTGATTCCTGTTGTTATTTCAACTGTCACAAAACTCATAAGTTTTGATTTTCACAAGTCGCAGAAAACAATTTCAAGAGAAAATAATCCCAGTTTGTTATAAATTTCGCGCAAAGCTACACGAGGGCTATCTGCGCTAGCCGTCCCTAATTTAGCAGTGAAAGACTAGAGGGAAGGCAGCTAGTCATCCCCACCCACCGCCAACTCTTGGCCTTCTCTTATACCAACGAATAGTGGGATTGACCGTCATATTATAACGCTTACACGGGTGAAAGGGCGAGCATATTTGGTGGGACGGAGACTCGGAATTGTGAATCTTTCTTCAAAGTAGCGCCCAGGCGGGGTTTATTAACTAAGGCTAATAAGTAGATTAAGGAGCATGGTCTCCCGAAAACAAAATTAAACTTGATAGTCAAAAACATGACTTTTTTTATTATTATTTTGAAACCGTGTTTTTACACGACTCTAATATCGAAGGTTTTATGATTTTCGATCGTGAAATGTAGAATGGTAATAAGTTGAAGTAACACAGTAACATCTGATTTGGTAATATTCAATGTTTTTCACTTTAAATATGTATAAGAGAACAGTATGAATTGATGTAAGGCAGATTTAAATAGCTTCTCTGAGCCCCTTTCATTTTGTAGCGGTCGTAGGACAGAGATATTTCGAATGACGAGACTTAATAACTGTACGTTTTGCATTAAGACAGCAGTTACTGTAATATGTCATGAAAATTTGTTACAAAGGCTGGTCGAAGACAGATATGAACTCAAAACTGAAAATTCTAGGACAAATCCACTTCAGTGACGTAAGAAGCGGGGGGGGGCCCACTTTTCAATCTGTCCAAATACAAATGCATCAAAATTAGGAACATTGCCCTGTGGAGCATATTCCCTCGGTGGGACACCCACTTTTCAACCTGTCCCAGTAAAAATGCATCAAAATTAGGAAAATTGCCCTGTGTAGCATATCCCCTCGGGGACATCCACTTTTCAATCTGTCCAAGTAAAAATGCATCAAAAATTAGCAAAAATTGCCCTGTGGAGCATATCCCCTCGGGGGACACTCACTTTTCAATCTGTCCTAGTAAAAATGCTTCAAAATTAGGAAAATTGCCCCGTGAAGCACATCCCCTCGCCTCGCTTGGTCAAATAAACCTTAAAGCCCCACTTTTACCTGTGGACTTATAAGCTTAAAGCAACCTTCAGTTACTCACTAAACCTTATTGGACGAATTTGCGGTAATTTTTCGCTGTTTCCGAGTAAGACTTTAATATAGACCCACTGTTGTCAATAATCTCATTGTTACAGTGTTAATAATGCACCTTTAAAAAAAAAACAAACAGACTAATATCACATTGAATTTTCAGTTCAGAATCCATCCAATCAGCAGACGTGTAGGCGTGTTCAAAATTAGAAGACGTTGATTGACAAAGGCTTGACCCCGGTGGCTCAGCGGTAAGTCTGAGAGCCTTTTACACTAAAAATCGGGTTTCGATACCCGCGATTAGAACAGCACAAATAGCCTATGGTGTAGTTTTATTATTAATAACAAACGATAGAACAAAGGCTTAAAACGAATAATATATATATATATATATATATATAGTAAACTTATTTTCAAAATTATTCTGAACTGTCTTTACCTGCACAAGTTTTACAAAGTTTTCTTTATCTGTCCTGTGCCCATCCCTATCATAAGAACCCGGATATTCCCAATCTAAATCGAGACCATCAAATCCTAAGTCCAGCAGCCACTTGAGGGCGCTCTTGACAAAAGCATCCCTTCGTTCCTTTTGACGAACCATCTGCGAATATTTTTCTCCTCCTTCACCCCAACCTCCAACGGACAGGAAGAGACGTAGATGAGGATACCTAACTCGGAGTTGAGTGAATCTTTTGTAGCCGGCTATAGATCATACACAATGAATCAAATCATTTGAAACCAGTGATCATGAACAAAACTTGTACTAAATTTATACTTTCTTTGTTTACTGCTATATTCAAATTAGAAAAGATTTTACTAGTACTGTAGTACGTATTCAAACTAGAAAAGATTTTACTAGTACTGTAGTACGTATTCAAACTAGAAAATGATTTTACTAGTACTGTAGTACGTATTCAAACTAGAAAATATTTTACTAGTACTGTAGTACGTATTCAAACTAGAAAATATTTTACTAGTACTGTAGTACGTATTCAAACTAGAAAATATTTTACTAGTACTGTAGTACGTATTCAAACTAGAAAATATTTTACTAGTACTGTAGTACGTATTCAAACTAGAAAATATTTTACTAGTACTATAGTACGTATTCAAACTAGAAAATATTTTATTCGTAGGACAGTGTGTATTCAAACTCAAAGAAATATTTATTAGCACTGCAGTATGATTAAATTGTCTCGTAAATTTTCAAGCACCCATCACTGACAAAATTTCTTTGGCTCTTACGTTTCCACTAGAATATTACTCTAATCAACCAAATGTATAGATAAGCACAGACAGAAGTTTAGATGAGTATGAAAATAGTGGATATAAACAGAAACAGATTGACCCACCTTTACTAAAGTTTGAATTATGATGCAGACTACATAGTAACATAAATAGAAACAAACATACATTTTGCCCTACCTTTACTAAAGTCTAAACTGGGGTACAGGTTACAAAGATATAAACAGACAGACAGACAGACTGTTGTACCTTCACTGAAGTCTAAACTGGGGTCCAGGCTACTGAGCTCCCAAGTTTTGTTGTTAAGACCAGCGAATGAATACATAAGGTCTGTGCAAAAGTTACCAGGGATGTCTTCTATGTCGTAACGGTAAGGCTTAGGTCTATAGACTGCCCAGGTTTGGTAGTAGCAGACGATCTTCTTTTGCCGAATGTCCCGAGGGTTACTGAATACAGCGACATCTAAGATGTGTTTAATTTTACAATATTAATTGAATTTCATGTACTCAGTAAGTCGCGGGGATTAATTAACTTAGTAAAAAGTAACGAATATAATCTTGGTTATTTTTTCGAAAGTATCAGGAATATTTTTTTAAATTTCTTATAGCAACATGTACATATATCAAAGCACAAACTTTTAAACACAAATAAAGATACTTTTTATCATCTGTACTGGTTTAATATCTTATACATAAAATAAAATTACAAGTTATTGAACTTTTAGCGTGTAATGTTTTGGCTTCTTTAGTTCTATGAAACCTTTTAATAACTCCTTGAATTTTTACTTAGTTAAAAATGAGTACTGGTGTACTTACCACCAGGGCGGCTGTTAATTGGTTCCGCTCCGAAAGTCCAACCAATCACAGACAGAAGTATCAGAGATGTGTACCTTATTTGGCACACCATTCCGAAAGACCTCATATTCTAAATAAAGATAGAACATCTGAAAATCAGGCATGCATGTTTTATTGTTTCTGTAATTTAAAAACTACGTTAAATTGTAGTGTCCTTTCTGAAACTACAGTGATTGTGACTTCTGTAGCCCCTATACTATATACCCGTGCTTATGAAGCTGTGGTATTCTCACGTACATTTATAAGCTTTAGGTAAGAATAGTGGGGGCAGTAACTAGAGAAATGGAAAGGAATGTATTACAGAGTTCAACTGAATTTCTGACCAGACTGAGTTCAAGAATGCGCAAGATAAAATTTTGGCACTTCTCTAGACGGCGGATAATCTGAAGGAGTTTCGATCTGAACTGAGAGAACTAACCATTACATACTCTAACGAATGTGGTCAACTTTCTAAGAATGCAAAATGATTTTGAGTGAAGACCTGGTGGAAGATATAAATAAAATCATACTTTTATTACCTCCATAAGAATTTCAAAATCACACATTAAAATTTCATAGCTGGGTATTTTCACGAGTAGATATTGTATAAACTTACTTTAAAAACTGAAAACATTCCGTAACATTTTTAAGTTGGAAAGAGACCTTTTATCAACTCCAAAACATATCATATTGAAACCTTGTAAACACTGCTATTTAAGGATTTTGGTAACAATGCATCCAGAACAGTATCAGTTTTAGTGTTTCCTTGGAAACATCTTTTTATGGATTCTGGCAACAATACATCTAGCATAGCATCGGTTCTGATTTTTCATGGGTATACATATCCATGGAAATGTTCACAATAGCATCTGTTTAAAATGATATCATTATAACCGCTGTGCACTCTTTGGATCTACCTATTATTAAAGTGTGTGAAAAGGTATGATAACGGATAGATATTTGACAAGATGACTGCAGAATGAAAAGAGTGAAAATGATAGTTTTTACATATCACTCATGATGAGGAAGATTGCAAGTCAGTATAGATAAAGAATAGAACGAGTGATCGGAAAACACAGGAAAGTATTCCTTCAAACCTCGCTACTAATGTTCTATTACTGTTACAGTTGACTATACTTTTAACAAAGTTCAATGTAACATCGTTTTTATTATTTTTCATAGCACTGATTGGCCCTTGGTCATTCTTTAAGAAATAATGTGAAAGACGTAACCTTCAGATATTTATAAACCTGTGCACAGCTGGTGACAAATCCAAAACAGTTCTTCAATGACAGCATCAGTGGGAGAATTCAGAAATACTAAAAAAGGATGACACTGAAAATATTTAACTAGCATAAACAATAAGGTTGTTTTAAACCAAAACTAGTTTCTTTATACGTTAACCTCTACACACACGCGTAAATTGTTTGCTCTTGTGAAATATTTTGAAAATTTAGAGTATCCAAAACTACCATTTTCTAAGCTAAAAGAAAGAAAACATGGCATTTTCTCAAATACCGCAAAGCCACAGTGACTGTCCTTTCTACAGCCTGTTTACTAGTATTTCCGGTCTTTTCTGAATTATCCCACGTTGTCTGTTTCTCAGTCCAAGTAGTTGCATTTCCTGTCTTCTCCGAAACTACTCTGAATATTTCTTCTTCAGCCCATACTTCAAGTAGTCATATCTCCTGTCCTCTCTGAAGTTACACTGATTGTCTCTTTCCTGTAGTACAAGTAGCCATATCTCCTGTCTTCTCTGAAATTAAATTGGTTGTTATCTCTGAAGCTACACTTGTTACCTTCTCCTGTAATCCAAGTAACAGTATCACCTGCTTTCTCTGAACCTACACTGATTGCATTTTATTCAGTTAATATTATCGCATCATAATAAAATTTCCTACTCCTCAAAATGTAATTGTATAACATTTCGGTGAAGACAACCTTCAGCACGTGCATAAGCGTGTTGAATGACCTTACCGTGTAATATAGTGCCTATTCGCATCTTGCTTGTGCAGCAATAGAACTAGCTTTTGGTTCTTTTTTTCTCATATCTTTTCTTGACTTTCTGATCTTACTTCCTCTCCCATAGTTGTGATTTCTAGACCCGTTTTATTTTTTAAAATGTGTCTGGAAACAAATTTTTGAAATGTTTCAATAGAACACGGAAATACATCATTTCTCACAACAACAAATATTTAACGCTAAAACATTTATCAAAGTGTTTTTGTGTTGTTGTTTTTTAATGACAAACAAAACGTTTTCTGTGATACTTCCTGGGCTAATATTGTCCATCACAACTGCTTAACACGTTTGGTACATAAAGAGAAAAGAAAAAACATTCATCAAACATGTTCTACTACTAAACAAGAGGAAATTTTCAATAGCCACGGCACTTGAAATTCTTTTAGGCAGGATTAGAGTAAACGAGTCTGCGAGTACCCCCCCCCCTTCTTTTTATTAGCTATATTTTTATAGCTAT